ATGCTCCGGGTTCATCTTCGTCAGCTCCCGGTTCATGTTCGATTCCCGAGACTCAGAGAGCTTCTACGGCGTCCCGGCAACCACCTCCTCCTCCTCCTCCTCCTCCACCGGTCGGGATTCATCCCGATTTGCAGGTGCCGCCGAACGCACCCTTTGCGGTGTACAAGGTGGAGGATATTTTGGCCCTTCCAGGCAGAGAAGGGCTGGCAGAGTTAGATCCTTACCGACGGGACGGCCAAAACTCCGGGAACCGCATGACCAAAGACGAGCATGGAAACACGAAGGTGCTTCACACCACGGGTCAAAAACCTCACGGGGGAGTTCGTCTAGACATGGTAAGATGATTTTTAATAACAATTTAATTTTTATTTTATTTGAATATTCCAAATTAATATTTAGTTTTATAAATTAATTTTAGGCTAAGGAGACAGGAGTTCTTCCATCTCTGAAAGACCTTTACGAGAGGACCCACCGGAACAAGGCTGGACAGTTTGTAAATCCTGCTTCCGAGCGGATCTACAACGAGCTTGTTGCCCAAGTTGACGAACGCCAGACCCAGCTGACTCAGCAGACTGGGACTCCAGTCATATTATCCACTGTTGACGTGGATAAGATTTACGAGGAGGTAAATAATTTGTTTTACTATTAATTTTTAATATTTTTTTAAATTTTTCTTAATGTTATTAATATTTTTATTTCCAAGTCGCCCCTAGGAAAAAGGGGCGAATCATCGGGATTGGCTCAGTTAACGATGTCCCTGCAGCGGCATCGTCTTATCATCAGGAGCAGCACGATGTCAATGCTCAGCTGCGCTCGGAGTTGCAGGCGACGCAGTCTCATGTGACTTCGCTCACCGAGCATGTGACTTCTCTCATCGATGTCTTCGACATTATGGCGGTTGGAAACCCGCATGTGCAGGAGATGTTGCGTCAGAGACGGGAACATGCAGGGATTCCAACCCAACAGCATCCACCATCACAGTCACAGCCGGCAACCAACTATGGAGAGGATTTGCCGAGCCAGGACGACGACCAGTTCGTTCAGCAATTTCACGACCAGCATCCGTAGTTTTTTTATTTTTAATTGTATATTATTAATTTAAAAACTTTTTGTATATTATTTAGTTATTTATAAAATATTTTTTTTTTATTTTTTATTTATAATTTGATTTTTTTTATTTTTAAAAAATTAATTAATTATTTGTAACTATTTTTTTTAATAGGGAAAAAAACATTTCCAAGCAAAATCCTCGTAAATGTTTCCAAGTAATGTCCTCGTACAAGTTCTAGTAATTTCCTCGTAAACTATTACTACGATCTTACGAGGAAAGACTTACTACGAGCTTACGAGGAAAGCTTACGAGGACCTTACGAGGAAAATATTACCATGCCTTTACGAGAAAACATTTCCTCGTAAATTCGCTAGAACCTTACGAGGAAAATGGCTTTACGATGAACGTGTTTCGAGGAAACGCGTTTCCTCGTTATTTCCTAGTAAAAGGCCATTTACTAGGAAATAACGAGGAAAACCCGTCCTAGTAATGGATGAGTTTTCTTGTAGTGAATGTATTACGACTTTACGAAGAAATCCTTTTCTCGTGATTTTACAAGGAAAGTACGTTTATTCTTTGTTTCGTCGTAAATTCTCGTAGTGTCGTCGTAATTTTACAAAGGAACCATTTTCCTCGTCAATTTCCCTAACGAAAAAATCATTTTCTTGTAGTGAAAAAAACTAAGAGCAAACACATATTGGAGCAAATACCTATTTCGTGTTCGTATATTGATTATGTAATTGAATAAACAATCCGTTAGACATGTATTTATAACAACCTTCGGTTTCTTTTTCCTTTATGAAAACACTTTAATTCTAGAAAAATTAATTTTTATAAACTTAAACATAATTTTCCAAAGAATGCTGAACTTTTTACTGGTGTATATGGATTTAATACACTTTCAGAATTAAAAACATATATATTACAAATTTATGTATGTGTATTTTGGAACAAGATAGGGCAGAATCTATTATATTAAAAGAGAAGTCATGACTCACTTCATGTGTGATTTTTAAGTTTGGACCATCCTTAGAAATTTTATATAATATAACATCATTATAATATCTTTTCATATCTTTAATTTTTATTTGAAATAAAAATAAATAATTTTAAAAAAATTCTAACAAAATCTTTTAAAAATCTTATAGAATCTTTTTAAGATATAGTTTCAAAAATTATTTGATTAAAAATTTAATTATCACAGAATATAATTTATTTAATTCCTATTTTTAACAAAAATTATGTAATATACTTTTAACAATATCCCAAAATTTTGTTTATGTATTATGTAGGTCCAAATTAATTTAAATTTTATATATTTAAAATTTAGAAATAAAACAAAATATATATAAATTAGTAATGTTACATAATAATGTTTTTAAAAATTGTTACAAAAAGACAAATTTATAAATTTAAAATTAATAATATTATTAGCTACATAAATATTATTATAAAATTGGATAGTATATACAGTCAAATTATATTTATTTATTGATAAATTTTACTCCCTCCAATACTTAATATATGATGTTTTGGATCATAGCACAAAAATTAAGAAATTTACATTCTTTTACAAAAGTATTTTTAAAGATATAATTTTATAGTTATTCAACAAATTATTAAAAAAGTAAAATTTTATCGGTTGAACAATTTCCAATAAAGTTATACATAATTTTAAAACCTCAAAATATACCTTAAAATCTCAAAACATCTTATATTTTGAAATAAAATAAATCTTATAAAACATCATCTATTTAAAACGGAGTGAGTGTTATATAATTTCAAATATTTTCGTATTAAAATACCCGCACGGTTGTGCGGGTCGAGATCTAGTTTATATTTATAGTGAATTCTCTTTTACAAACTCTGTTATTATTATTCTATGTTCAATGTTTTCAACATGTTAAAAATTTAAAACTAAATAATCCATGTTATCAAATTTATTATTCGACATATAATCCTTGTATTATTCAACTGTTATAAAAATTCAACACTTCATTTAAGATTTGGCTTGTCACTTCATATAATCCTTGTACTACTACTGATGCATGTGATGATAGTATACTTGGACCAAAAAATTTGGACAAAATTTAGTTACGATCATGGAGTATAACTCAAATAACAATCAGATGATGAGATTGGGTCTAAAATTCTCTCGACGGTCGTCTGATTGTAATGATGCACAGATCATACCCAAAAAAATCAAATGCAATATGCATGAGAGATGTGAATGTGATGATGTATGTTTATTTTGAGAAAGCCAACAGAAAAGTATACTATAAATTGAACAAGACGCCTGTAATAACATGAAGCTGGGGGCGAAACCACGAAGCAAAGCACCATTTCATGATGCAAGTGGTCGTCGAGAACCAATAAAGAGAATCTCCACCGCCTCAAATATCTACTTTATTTTAGATATTATATCATATAACATTGATATTTTATATAGTTGTTCTGTGCCTAGTGGCGATCTCTTGGACTTAGTGTGTACTTACATGAGTTCTGGGTTCGATTCTGCCTATTAACTAAATTATCATTATTTGGTCAGTGTATGTTTGGGCTTTGATCCAAGTTGGTTTACATATGTTTGGGCTTTGATCCAAGTTTGTTTACATGGTAGAACGTAATAGATAGTCGATTTATCTCTAGTATTAGTCGGAAGATATTCCAAACTTGGATCAGACGGTATGGTAGTCAATTCACTCTGTAGCACTAAATGCGTTCCTCCCGAGATCGACCGGATCAGCAGATATGGTTTATCAAAAAAAAAAAGTTGTTCTTTACCCTGAAGTTGTATTCTATAATAATACAAGTAGAAAATTTTATTGAACGCCATATTGACATGCTAAAACACATTCGGTAATTTATCATAACTTCACATTGTACTCTATTTTTCTTATAAGATACTTGGAAAAATTATTTTGTTACCGTCTTCTCTAAGATTAGGACTGGGCATTATTACTCGATACTCGTTTTATATTCGTCACTTTACTTGTATTTGCCTTGAAAATCTAAGTATTTGGTGTTGTCAAGTCGAGTAACAAATCAACAAATTTTATTACTCGTAAAAGCAAAGCAAGTATCAAGTATCATTTTATTTTTCAATATTCGCCTCGTCACTTGGTACTCATTACTCGTTTTATAAATACTCGTTACTCGTTTTACAAAATATTCGTTACTTGATAAATAATACTTGTTACTTGCAAAATAATATTTGTCTTGATTTGATATTAGTTTAATAAATATAATAACGCATTACGAAATAAGATATTAAACTCGTTATTCGGTTTAAACTTGTTTCTTTATAATATGCATAAATATATTTTTAAAGTAATTGTATGTTTTTTTAGTAGAATAAATAAGTAAACTTTCATGTCTTTTAAGTATATGATTATTTAACAATTAATTTTTAAATACTTAGAAATACACGTAAATAATTTACAAGTACTCGTAAGTAGCAAGTAATAAAACGAGGCAAATAATTTGTAAATAACTGATTTTTGATCAAGTATTCGAGATAGCAAGTACTCATTTTTAACAAGTCAAATATAAATCGGAAAATTTTATTACTTGTGTAAAACAAGTCAAGTATCAAATACACATAAAAATAGCAAGTACTCGCCTTGCGCCCAGCCTTAACGAAGATAGTTTCACTAAAAAAGTTGGTTTATAAATGATAGAGAGAGAGTGTAGATTAAACGTTGCGGTTTATGTTTTAAATGTCTGAACCCTTCAATATTTTAAATCATGTTCACACGTTTAAATCAAACCTGATTAATTAAGCAAACAGGCTAATTTTGACTTAACGGAAAAAAAAAAGCAAAGCTAAATATGGTCAAAGGCCATAGTTACTTCAATTTTCATCTCTCTATCGTCCTTCCTTACTTCTATATAAACCTTCCTCTCCCCTGTCTCATTTCACATTCCCTCAAAACCATTTCGAAATCATTTTAGTTTGAGAGAGAGAACACAGACGACACCAAGTTTCTTTCGATCTCTTCGCCGCAGATCAAAATTCTCTTATTCCTCGGATAAACCTCTCCTTCTGCGGCGGCGATAAAAAAAAGAACAAACCTCCCAAACAATAAAAAAAAAAGTTTCAACCTTTTATTGTCTGTTCCATCTCTCTCTCTTTCAAGAAACCACATATTTCGATAAACATGGCTCGTTCTTTCTCTAACGTTAAGATGGTATCTGCTTTCGTCTCCCAAGAACTCTCTAATGCAATCTTCCGGTATGTTCTGTTTTTCCTCTGTTTATACTCTGTTTTTTTCGTGTTATGCTCTGTTTTTAAAACGGTATCGTTTTGTGTTTTAACAGACGCGGTTATGCGGCCACGGCGGGACAGTCTAGCAGTAGAAAAGGTGGAGCCGTTGTTTCGGCGGTAATGAAGAAGGGAGTGGAAGAATCGAACCAGAAGGTTGCTTGGATTCCAGACCCCAAAACCGGTTATTACAGACCGGAAACCGGTTCCAACGAGATTGACCCAGCGGAGCTACGTGCAGCACTCTTGAATAACAAGCAGTGATTTGATTAATTGAATAAAGAGGTTCTACTTCTGTTTTGATTAATTATTTTAATGTTTAGGATTTAATGTATTGAGAGGAGGTTAGGGGAAGAAGGTAATGATCCGTTGTGGTGAACCCTATTTTCATCTGTTACGTGCGATTCTGTAATAAACTAATAGAGAAGCCTTCTTGGTTTTTCTATTTTGTAACAAAAAGGATCGTTGGATGTATGATGGTATTATCCATAATATAGTTTTTTTTTGTTACTAGCAGTTTACGGATCAATCTAATTAAACATAACTAACTTTGACATAATCCATTGAACTTTATTATCATCAAGATATCATTTATATACTAAATCACAAGTCAGTTGACCAATAATAACTTGTCACATAATTTACTAATAAAAATTTTAAAATAAAAAATAAATGAAAAACGAAAATGCAAAAAGCTAACAAGACATGTCAATTTAAATATTTAACTGATAAGTCAAAAATATTTTCTCTGGTCACTTCGCATGCGGTTTTTCCTTCCATACCACGATCACCGTTTACCAACAATCTCATAACTACCTATGTCCAGAAAAAATAAAACTACCTATATTCGATTATTTATATTTGTGAGATTATTATATAACTGCTTACTGTTACAAAAACACAGTTTATCTCCTTCTCTTATTAACAAACCCGATGTGGGCATGCAAGGCTTCTTCTCCGAGATAGTAAGTTTTACTATGGTCTTATTCATCAAACCTCATTACGTCATGTGCAAAGTTTTCTTAAAAAAAATTACAGGTTGTACTTCTTTTCCAAAACAATAATCTGAGATGAAGAAGATAAGATGATAACTTTTTCTTTTAGCAACGCAATGGATAACTCAAAGTCTTCAAAAATCTATTTTATTTTTGCTGGCTTTGCATGCTTAAAGAAATCGTATCCCATAGCTAATATATAACGATTGATTGAAGATTTTGAAAGAGCAGAAAATGTAACACTGCCCCCAAAGACTATCAACCAAACTGGATTTACAGGTACAAAATATTTTAGTTTAAAAAAAAAGGTACAAAATATTTTATTTTACTAACCATTTTATCATAAAAATATAATATATATTTTTTTGTTATTTCTGTTTGATGATACCTAAATAAAAAATATATATTTTTGGTTTACTTACAATTCAAAATTATGTATAATAAATTAGAATCTAATTATTTTTATATCGGTCAAGAGTTTTTTTTAAACTAATACTATTTTTAACATATCATTTCGGTTTTCTGTACGCAGTACAGGTAGTATACTAGTATCATATATTTAACATGCAAGTAGAATTATAAAACAAAACTTCTTTTTGATTAACCTTGAGTCGCTTGACCATATAGACGTAAATGCTTTGAATAACTCTTAAAAAAGGTTGCAGCTCGTAGATAAACCCTAGTATTCAAATAAACTCTAAAATATAATTTTACTAGTATTATATCCTGTACTACGTACGGGTTTTTTCCCCTGTTTTTTCAAATTATCTGATCATAAAATTTATCTTGCTCACCATGACTCAAAATATCAAAATAAATTATTATTTTAAACCTAAATAACACATTAGAGATAACTTAAGAGTAGCTGCATTCGAAGGAAGTGAAAGGAAGCAATAAAACAGTTTATATAACCCATTTTAAAATGTAAACTTCTTCATGTTTAATATAGTAAACATAAAACAATGGTATAGTTCTTAAACACTTCAGAAATACTCATGTTCGTATTTGAAATCGGTTAAGGGTTTCAAATCTGTATAAGCATCTAAATCTGCTGTCCCTTTGTATTCATAAAAATAAGACAATAGAAAAACACAGATTTGTAAATAGGTAATATATTGCTTATCAAAGATTCAAGAATGTTGATAAGGGTTTTTAAACCTTAGAGCAAATCAATGTAGTAAGATAAGTAGAGTGTCAATCCAATCCTGAGAGCTATTGAACAAAGAAAATGCAAGACATTGTTAAATCTAAATGCAATCAATGAGGGTTTATTTTATAAGGTAACAAGTAACTAGCAATGTAAGTAAACAAGAGTAACTAAAGCTTTGTTTCAAGGAGATAAGAGAACTTATGGGTAAAGGTATTGACTTTGGGTGATCAAGTTACTATCTAGGGTGAGGTTTCAAGCAATCATTCATATCCTATAGGTCTAGACACAATCCTAAGCTAGTTCTTGGTCAAGGTAAAAACTCATTTGCTATCAATCTCTAAACACAAATGATCATTGGTCTAAATCAATCAAGAAATCATTGAGAATAAGTCTACTAACCATCTAAGCCATCCTAACATGAAGTGTCCTTGGTTAAGTAAGCAAAAAGCATTATTACTTTGGTTCAGGCATTTCATCATACACCTTGTGAGCAGTAAATGCCTAATGATCTAGTTTAGAAGTATTAGGTCTAATATAGCATTAGGAATAAGTAATAAGCATAGGAAAAGAGGGATCTAACACTAATCACCCTAGATCATCACTTAATCACCCTAATCACCTAACCCATAAGTTCAAAGAGAGTCTACTCACTAATCTTCATGTTTAATCTTAAACCCATAATGGATGGAAGACTAATCATGTTAGAAGAAGAGATAAACTCAAATTACTCAAGAAACAAAGAATATATTAATCAATGATTCAACTTTCCAATGTGTTTTTGAGAGAAAAAAAGATAAGTTCTAAACTTAGGTCTCCCATGTATTTATAGAAGCCTAAAAACGAGCATAAAAGTTGGGTCTTTTCGTCTGTAGCGACATGCTCTGGTCGCTACAGCACATAGAATTTTCAGTGAATTTTCTCGTTGCGACATGCTCTGGTCGCTACAGTGGTCGCTACAGGCTCTCGGCCTCTTCCTAGCGACATGCTCTGGTCGCTACAGGGTTGATATGTCTCCAGTAGATAGATCATAACTTCTTCAATACAACTCCAAATGACTTGAAACCACTTCCATTAGAAAGATAACTCAATTTCCCATGTCTTCCCAAAATATGAGCTTCAAAAGATATCTTTAAGGTCTCCATCCATGTTCATCTTTCACCTTTTTTGGATCACAATGCTCCCAAACACCTCCATTCACTCCATGGCACACTCCAATACCTAATAAGAACATATGAATGCAATATGGACGTAAAGATTTCTAAAACTTAATCTATATGATGATTTATGTACAAAATGAAATGCTAAAACTATGCAAATATGCCTCATATCAACTCCCCCAAACTACTCTTTTACTTGTCCTCAGGTAATTAATTAAGATCAAAGGAAGAGAGAAGGAAAATGGGAACTCAAAACCAAAGGATACACTTCTTATATTCAACACCACATCCTAGATAAACATAACCTATAGCATAAGCAATCTCAATTATTACACTCTATCTTCACAAGGCCTATCAAGACTCTTTCTTTTAGACAAGTTGTGGATCACCAATCAACAAATATACTAAACCAACCCTCACATTCAATTAAGCATAAGCTAATAAGGTGAGTTCTTGCAAATGGAAACTTGATCTCAATCATTTGGCTTGGTAAGTGAAATGATTAAATGAGAATAGAAGAGGGGTTTCAATACATTTCTTTTTAGTGGCTTACGCTCAAGAATAGGAGCTTGATCATTATGCAAAATCTATCTAAGAAAATGAGCCACTTATGCATACATTGCTTGTTCTTATCAATCTACCCTTTTTTATCATCTTTAAACTCCACCATTTTTCTTGGTGTAAATCTCAAACCTATTCATCCCTAAAAACATTAAGATCACTCTCTTATTTCACTCACCCAATGAACTCATTCTCTTTTCTTTTCTTTTGAACCAACTAGGGACTTTTTCTTTCACTTTTTACTTAAGCTCTACTCTTATTTTTCTTATGTCTTCCCCAAAGTCTTTTCTAAACTCTTTCTTTATTTCTTTTCTTAGCCTAAGGGGTTTCTTATTTGAAGTTTCTAGAGCTTTTGTTTCTTTTTCTTTTGATCCCTAGTGATTTTCTTTTATTTTTCTTTCTTTTAGTCATTCTTTTCACTCATCTAACACCCCATGACCAAAGATAAACTCTTTTGCATCACAATACCAAACTGCCCATCCTAATTGCTAGCTCTCAAGAGGTCCTATAGCTAGCCTAAGATAAGAACAACCAATGTCGCCCCTAATACTCTCAAGTTTTTGCACATGACAAGCTATCAAAAGAGGCCTCACACAAGCAAAATTATTTAGGCTTCAAAGAATGGTAAGGGTTTAAAGGTAAGGAGTGCCATTTGGGTTTTATAAAGAGTGGTATAAAGGATAAGTAAAACCCAAATGTGTATAATCCATGATCAAGTATGAAAATTCCCATAAGCACGAAAGATTAAGTTCATTCAGCTTTAAGTTCATTTGGAGTTGGTTAAAGAGAATGTCAATCTCACACAAGCAACAAGTTTCAAGAACAGTTTTCAAGGCTCAAAGCATGCAAGCTTTTCAAGAGATACTTAAGCTACTTGCTATGATCAGCTAGAGTGAAGTTTTGAGTTCTAAGCATGTGTTTCCTTATTAGGTCAGCTCCCAATGCATGAATGCAATCTAAATGCTTCTAGAATCAATCCTAAAGATGCAAATGATGCAACCTAAATGCTTGTTTTTGTTTCTTTTTAGATTTTTTTTTATTTTTTTGGATTTTTCTATGCATATATGTATGTGCAATGCAATGCATGAGACTCAAATTCAACAAAGCAAACATGATCAAATACTTGGTACCTCCCCCAAACTTAAATCACACAGTCTCTGTGTGAGTAAGAGAGAAGGAGATACCAAAAATATGATAAAAGCAATGGTATATACAAAGAATGGTTAGAGTGATACCTCAAGTGGGAATGAGCAGTGTTGTGGCTATTGGTGTTTGGGCATGACCTTTGGGCATATTGAGGAGACCCCCAAACTTGTTACTGACCTTATTCAACACAAAAGAACAACAATATATACAAAGATAAACATGGGAATTCCTCCCAAGTGAGCTTGTTTAAAGTCTCTTAGCTTGACTACCTTTGTTTACCTATGTAGAAGGAGGATCCTTCCCACCTTCAAGGGTGATGGTGAGGACGTGTGTAAGGAGCTCTTGGAGCTTGAGTGGATCAGCTTGGAGTTNTCCTCCCAAGTGAGCTTGTTTAAAGTCTCTTAGCTTGACTACCTTTGTTTACCTATGTAGAAGGAGGATCCTTCCCACCTTCAAGGGTGATGGTGAGGACGTGTGTAAGGAGCTCTTGGAGCTTGAGTGGATCAG